ATATATATATATATATATATATATATATATATATATATATATATATATATATATATATATATGTGTGTGTGTGTGTGCGTTTTCACCAATATACAGGGTGAGTGAAAAGTAAGTCCTTATTTTATGTATGATGGATTCTCCCGTCTAACAATAATTTTTACAAAACGGCAGAGTCCATCATATATAAAATAGGGACTTCTTTTCAATCACCCTTATTTGTTTACTATATGTATGTGTGTACGTATATATATATATTATATATATATAATATTTCTGAATATTTGTAAATATCAGTCCTACATATATATATATATATATATATATATATATATATATATATATATATATATATATATATATGTGGGGGGATAAAAAATATCTATCTATCTATCTATCTATCTATCTATCTATCTATCTATCTATCTATCATCTATCACACACACACACACACATATATATATATATAGTAAACAAATAAAAATGTTTAGATATATATTCTCTTCTCAGAGTTTGGCAAATAAATTTATTTATAGATACCATATAATAATTAATTTATAGAGACCATCTTCCGGTAGGATTTGAATCTGCGTTCCCCTAGTGTAAATCTGTCATTAGATCTGACGTACTTTGACCTTTCAGCTACGGAACTCGTCAATGGATAAGTAAAGCCTGAATAGTCCCTTTAAACACAGATTTTTTTTTCTGACTCTCAAAAGAAACATATCTACTCAATTTCGCATTCCGACGTAAACAAAGCAATTTCTAAAGAAAGGATTTTTTTTTTATTAATCCGACAGATTTTTGTGCTTTAAACGTTTTAATGAATACTCAAAAGCCTGGACCATATCAATTTTACTTTTTTTCTTCTGAAATGAACTTTGGACAATTCTTGAGAGAATTTCCTCCTTGTTTGTGAAAGATTATTCGTAATTTGAGAAAATCAATCATTAAAAATTAATCGACATAAAATGTCTATCGTTTTCAATAGTATCTGCATTAAAGTACATTTGCTACCTGAACACGCAGAATATGAGAAAGAGCGTAAGAGAGAGAGAGAGAGAGAGAGAGAGAGAGAGAGAGAGAGAGAGAGAGAGAGAGAGAGAGAGAGAGATACTATAGTTCAAGCCATCATGCCATCGAGTTCATTTTGTTTGCTCGCGTCGTGTCATCGATACTGGAGCCTCTTATCATTTCAAATCTAATTCCTATCTCACGTTTTAGAAATTAATGCACCAAAAGATTTTATTCGATTTTCACAACTGTCATGGCATCTTGTTAAGTAAAGAATGTCGAGTTCCTGATATTTATCATCGGTTTCCTTAAGTCATTACACTTTGTTTTGATTATTTTCCATTATGTGTGCTGCATTTAAATTAGCTTTTCCTGAAGGAAGCGGCTAAAACTAGCTGTTTCCTGCAACTTATAAAATCGACAAGTTTCAACTGAAATTTATATAAGGCAGCATTACTTTGTGTATGTTTTAGGTATTCATTCCAGTTTAGTTACTGTCTTTTTGTATGCAATATTCCTATGTTCCATCAAGTTGTATCAGTAAGCGTGAGTTTTAAGAAACTTTTACTTTTGGTCTTCCTAAGTACATCAAGTAGAAATCGACTAAAGATTAACTGACACAATTTGAAACTGTTTTGTACGACTTATGCTATGGATATATTTTATACCATTGTTCACCAAAATCAAGGCTTAAGAACCACTCAAGGTACAGGGTTACTGAAAGAGATTGTTGCATAGGCAATAAGGATTGCAGATTATGAGGATATGTAGGATAGATAACATACGACCCTAGATTTGAAAAATTTAAGATCATAGCGATCGGGGAAACATCCTCTCGGGAGTTTGTTTCAAAATAATAGTTCTTGGGAGAATTTGGTTTAAGTTTGTTTTGCGGCATATCAACTTCAATGGGTTATTTAATGCCGACAAAATTTTTAATGATGGTATTATTTGATTATCAAAAATGTATTGCTGGTAATATTTTTTATTCAAAAATGTATTGCTGGTAATATCTTTTTTTTTCAAAAATGTATTGCTGGTAATATTTTTTACAAAGTATTTCTGGTATTAAAACCTATTTTTCAACTTCATAGTGTTTTAACCACAGTCTGGGGGTTAACTATTTGCTCATAGCTGGGACCTTAACAGGTGCTACCACCTCGGGGCAGGGCGGTCCCGGGAACAGCAGTAATTAAGAGGTGGTTCCACACACCTCAAAAACTCCAGATCAGAGGCCTTGCTATTGGACGTAGTTTATCGTCATCGCCAGGACGGTTCTTGGGAGGAAGCTGTTTGAGTGGCACTTTCTTCTTACCAATTGTGTGGTAACTATTTTTATTAATTGGTTAACCTAGATCTGTGCGAAGGAGAAAGTTTTAATAATTTTTTTATTCACTTTTGGGACCTATATTGATTTGTCTATCGGTTACTGACGATCGTGCATTTTCTAGGCTCAATTCCTATGTATGCTGCAGAAAATTAATACAAGACTGACCAGTTGCCATCAGACCTTATATCGTAAAAGTGTATTAATTTAATATTTTCAACAAAAAAGTTCCAAAATTTCTTCCGCTTTTTCGATGTGCCATATCCCTTCAGGACGTTGGCGATCGAGGCTCCCCACAATTTCTTGCGCTTTATAGCTCTTAATAAAAGTTGTCTTTTTATTATCTCACCTAAACTCTCCTTTGCCAACAATTTACAGAAACTTGTAAGGTAGGTTATGCGTTATTTTTCTTTGTCCCTCTTGTCTTCAATATGCCCTGAGAGTGTCAGATTTTCCAAACCCTCTTTCCTCATTATGTGCCGTAGAAATCTCAACTATCTCTTTCAGATATTAAGTATAAGTGTCCCTTTGTTTTCTATTTTCTCACAAATTTCGTCGTTGATCCTTGTTCGTCCCAGCAACTTTCTGTAGAACCACGTTTCTGTTGATTCAAGTATCTTCTTCCTCTTTGAGGAGATTGTTCATCCTTCACTGCTATATAGAAGGACTGATATTACATAACAGTTCAGTACTCCATTCTTTGTTTCTAACTTCCCATCTTCTGCTAAAACATTCCAGATATTTAGATTTTTGTACTTGCTTGATTTTGGTATCACCAATTTGTAGTTTGCATTTTGTTTTTTTTTTTGTTTTTTTTTTGCTGACGACCATACATTCTATCTTTTTTTGATTGATTAGTCTTTTCTTCTAATTTTCCTTCATTACCTTCTGTAGGAGTTCTTTTAGTTTCAGTTTTGTGTCTGCTATCGACATTGCGTCATTTACATATCTTATATTGTTAAGACTGTCGCCATTAATAATAAACTTTGTTAGGTTGGAAGACCTAACAAAGTTTATTATCTCTCAAAGTCTCTCAAAATCGTTTCACTGTCTAAGATGAATAAGTTCGGTGCGAAGATACATCCTTGTCTTAAACCCTTTTTTTATTTTTGTATATTTATTGAATTTATTTTCTATCCGGACGTAGGCAGTTTGCCGCCAGTATAGGTTCTGGATTATTCTAATATTCCTCCCCCCAAAACTAGAAGTTCTTTGTGGTGTATTTTATCAAACGTTTTTGCATAATCTATAAAACACAGATATACATTCTTTTCGATTTGTATTGCTCTGATAAAACAATGTTTAAATACAAATGGTTTCTGTAATTAGCGAAAATGCCATAGAAATATTTTGCTATAATTCTAAAAGATAACACACGAAAAACAGATAGAAAATATTGTTCAACTCTTGAATGCTAAAAGTTTGAAAAATATCTTTCTCAATGTACCAATATTTATAGCTTCAGGAATTGTCCTTGAAATTTGAAGCATGATAATTTTTCAGTGCAGGAGTAATTCTTCGTTAACAACAAGGACTACCAGTCGCCAAGAATGAATCTAGAGGTGGGCTGTCTCTCTCAATTTTTTTATACCGTATATAAATTTTGTGAAATTTTAATGTTCAAATTCTTAATCGTGTTCCCATTGATATAAAGACTGACCCGCCTTCACTCAAAACATTTTGGCGATGGGCTGAGTGACCACAAATTGAAAACTCTTTACTTTTTAGTTTTCCTCTGAAATAGCTGTGCGTTTGATTATCTGAATTCTTATTTTTGTTTTAAAGTCTCCGACAAGCAATGCTTTTGTGAGGTGGAGTGAGGAAATATCTTAAAAACTTAAATGTCCGATCACTAACTGAAATGTTTTAAATCATAGGTATATTTTGTGTATATATAGTAAAACTCCTATTATTATGCGCTTTGATTTCACGCGAATTCTCGTAGAACGAGATTAATATCACGTTATAAAGGGTTAATATCACAAGCCATTAACGAAAAATGAATTTGCTCACTGCGTGCCAACTCTTTTTCTTCTAAATTTCGTTTTAGCGCAATCTTACATTTTTTCACAATGATATTATATAGTTCTGACGAGGTAATACTCTATCATGAAAATATGAGGGTGTTCCAGTCGTAGAATAAAATTATTTTTAGTTCATTGCTTCTCTACCACCCATGATATTAAAAAAAATTTAAATGCAATATCAATCGCTATCTTCTTTCTTCCTGAATACTGTTCTTTTATGGTTCTTTCTCCTCACTAACGATTTCACATTTTCTTTCACTCTCAGTAAACCTTGTCATCTTAGTGGCATTATCACCTTGATTGGGGTGAAATGATTAAAAAATACGTTTAGGTTATACCAAAATATTGAAATAGGTTTCCGCTGAATTCGAAAGCAAAATATTAAAAAAAAATCAAACAACAACAACAACAACAACAACAACAAAAAAAAAAACGTTTATAGCATCTATTAAAAGATTAAAAGATTAAGTTAATCTCTGCTTGTGTGAACCGATCAAGAAAAAAAAATCTAGGTTAAATTTAAAAAGCGAACAGATGGGTATTTATTGAACGTCAAAAAATGTCACCCTCCACATAATCGTTGATTTATTACGACATTGTTCTGCTTTAAATCCTTTTTGTTTTCGCTCTTTCAGATTAGTACGCCAAGTGAAGAGCGGCGTGATAATGAGAAGCTTTATAACAAAATGACCCTAAAGGAACTTTCTGAAAATTTCAAAGGTGTAAGTATAAACCACAATCCTCTCTCGATTTCCATTTATATATATATATATATATATATATATATATATACTAGCCGGGCTACCCGGCTTTGCCCGGGTGTACATGGCTGCAATTGTATAACCGCACGCTCCGTATACCCGCACCCCTCTCTAGAAATGTCTGCCTGCGTCCCTACTGACACGCATCGTATACTAAGCTACTTTCGCCACTCATTTTTTATGGTATGTCCTTCGTAATTGTTTGATTGTTCTTAATAAAGGAATTCCATCGATAAAACCTTGTGTGGTCATTGCTCAGGGTTAAATTGTTTCAATGTTTTAGATATTCAGTAAATTTTCTTTGGCTATAATTTTAAAATAGTATCACATGGTTCACAAATCTAATAATCAAACAAAAATAGGGATGAAGCATCAGAGCTTGATTCAACTGCAAGTGCCAACGCATGAACGCCCCCCTCCTTCTTTGCACGTTTACTGTAAAGCTGGGGTTAATAAGAGGTTCTTCGGTAATTTTCCTTTTTAAAACTTCAATAACACTTTTCAAACAATCTTTGCATTAAGGATGAAATCATATGAAGAAAATATTGGTTAAATTGCAAAACCCGTTTTTGGACCTAGTTTCTTGCATATTTCGTCCACTTAATTGAAATAATCTAAAGCAAACATCCACAGGGACAATTTGGGTGTCATGTAATTTACATGGCAAATTTAGAAAGCATTACATGAAAAACCAGAGAGTTATAGCCGAAAAACGGCCTCTCTGACCAGTTTTTCGCATTATTTCTTGCATGATGGCAAATTTTTGCGACATTTTTTAAGAAAATCGGATAAAAGTTATTCAAGTTTTTATGTTTTAAGTTGTTCGTAAAACCCGATTTTTTCACAATTTTTTGTGTGAAGCTAATGTTGCCGAAACAGTATCAATATATTTTTTTATATCTACGAACAAATTAGATGACGTCAGAAACAAAACGGACAGAATTTAAATTGCATGTCCGTTTTATGATGAAGGACCGCATGTCCATGAAAGTTGCCTTATATATAAGTTAGCGCATTCATAACATTGAAGATTCATGGCATTGTTATACAATGCCATGGATCTTCCCCTCAGTTATGGGTTAAATAACCGGGTAGATTGGGCACACAATCAGTCCAGGACAATTAAAAGAAGTGTCGGGAAACACATCTACCACATATTTACACGTAAGCGTATGTAATGAACTCGACTGGAAAATAAAACATAGTCGTCATATTACATTTAGGGCTTATTCCGATTATATATATATATATATATATATATATATTCGACTCTCCTGTCGTATTTAACGTATGAGGGTCAAGCAGCTCAGTTCCTAGGAACCGACAGCCAGCCACCAGCACACATGATTTGATTATAGTGGTGAAGGTTTTGTGTAGAACCAAACACAATATTTGAAGTGCCGAATACAGAGACCTGGTGCACTACATGCCACAATGACCCCAAACGACCCTCCACAGGTTTTGAATTCAGAGTTGTCCTTCTAGACCAGTTGCCATCCATAACTATAGAACCCATAGCTGGAAAGAGAAGAAGAGGATTCATACCTATCCTAAGGGCATTAGCCGCTATCCATTACTTCACCGTGTCTCCTCAATATATATATATATATATATATATATATATATATATATATATATATATATATATATATATAAAAAACAAGGAATAAAACATAGATTGGAACAAAATTAACGTCAATTTTTTTATACTTTTAGGATCCTTTCGACCAACGCTTTTTCAAAAAGGTATTCGTTGGCAATATACAAACACAATCAAGGCACATTAATAGTCTCCAAGAAATCACAGGGTGGTTCTCGACTCTGAAGAATTCTTAAAAGTGTTGTTTTATTCACAAATGCTGTGTAGACACAGCTTGTTTTGACTTTCAGTGTGTAGCAATCACTTCTAAATTTGTATGATGGTCACTCAGTTGTTGTTCTTGCAGGGAGACAGGCAAATTTTGACCTTCAATCAACCATAATGAATATATAAAATGCTCTTTTTGTTTGCTGCGTACGCTCGGCTGGTAGAATTTAATATACAAAGCCCCGAGGACTCTAAAATGATAAACCGAGCGAGCACTATGTAGAATGGAAAAGAATGTGTCTTCATACTCGGTGGCAGAATCAGGATTATCCAACAAATGCTGCCCAATCGACGAGTCTTGAACTGCTTGAGTGGTTCTTTTTACAGTTTTGACAAATACGCAGGTACATATTGCGTCATCCGTGTCTCGAACCTCTAATGGGTTCATTCAATGTAAACCGCTTCACATCGAAAACAACCCTGTGATTTCTTGGAGATTATTAATGTGTTTTGAGTTTTGATTGTGTTTGTATATCGTCAACGAATATCTTTTGAAAAAGTGTTGGTTGAAAATATCCTAAAAGGTATAAAAAATGATGTTTATTTTCATATATATATATATATATATATATATATATATATATATATATATATATATATATATATTATAAATTAATTGATTTAAAATATGGTTTTTACGCTACACAGTTCTAACCATGTTTCAAAAATGGAAGCTAAAAGGCCCGAATTTAATTTTGTAATTAAATTAAAGACATTAGTTCCATTTCCTCCTCGGAACTAATGTCTTTAATTTAATTACAAAATTAAATTCGGGGCTTTTAGCTTCCATTTTTGAAACATGGTTAGAACTGTGTAGCGGAAAAATCATATTTTAAATCAATTAATTTATAATATTAATGCTTTTGTAAAAATAAAAATATCTATAAGAACACTGGATTATATATCTTACTGTTCTTTCTTTATATATATATATATATATATATATATATATATATATAAATCAGAACCAGCCCTAAATGACGTTATTCATGAACAGAGCCACACTGTACACAAAGTAGCTCTAGATTTCTCACTTCAAGCCACTATCCATTCTACCGGCAGCACGTCCCTTTGTGAATAAGTAAGATTTTTTCAATGTTTGAAATTGTTATTTGAACCGTTGTTCAATTTTGTCTTTCTTAATTTTGTCATTATGGCGCTGTTATTAATCAGTTTTATAGTCTGTGTCCGAAAGCTTAGCATTTAATTGTACTGTTATTTAAAATCTATCAATGATTTTCTTTTACTGACAAATGTAATGAAAGATAATTATCTCAAAGTCTATAGAAATCTAAAGACATATGCTGTTCACAATTCACTCGAAAGAGAACGTGTTTTAATTATTGAGTTGATATTTATTGCTATATTGATTTCTTTCTTTCAGTTCGATTGGATTTCTTACATAACTCAGATTATGAACATACCAAACAAATCGATACATATAAACGACACAGAAGAAGTAATAATTCGAGATACGGCGTATTTTACAAATCTCATGAAAATTCTGAGTACAGACAAACGGTAAGACCTTCTAATTTATTACCTTTTTCAGAGGAACGTGTGCTTTTTTCATCTTGTTAGATCAATAAAGTGACACATATAATAAAATAGAAGTATAAAAATTGCGAACACAATGTTCAAATTACATTTACCGATTTCTTGTATCATACGCTGTAAAATAGTAAAATGAACTGGCTTCTTTTTTTTCTCCTTCTTTTTCTACTTCTTTTACTGCTTTCTTTACTTTTACTGCCTCCTTTTCTTCTTCTTCTTCTTCTTCAACTTACATTTTCTGCTTCATTTTTCTTCCTATACTTTTCTTCTTCTTCTTTTTCTGCTTCTCCTTATTTCTTGCTTCCTCTTCTTTTTGTGCCTTTTCTTTTCTTCTTCTTTTTGTGCCTTTTCTTTTCTTCTTCTTTTTCTGCTTTTTCTTCTTCTTCTTTTTCTTCTTTTTCTCCTTCTTTTTCTTATTCCTCTCATTCTTCTTTTTCTATTTTTTCTTCATCATCTTTTTCTGCTTCTTCTTCTTCTTCTTCTTCTTCTATGTGTCATATCTCTGCAGGACATTGACGATCATGGCTCTCCACAGTTTCCTGTTCTTTGTAGCTCTTAATAAATTTGTCCTTAATTAGGTTTAAAGTATATGGGAAAAAAAAAGAAATATGAAGACTTCGAATTTTGGTAAATTGAAACTAAATAATTTTTCACTCGTACCTTCATTCAATCATTCTTCTATGTCCCATCTCCCTTCGGGACGTTGGTGATCGTGGTTCTTCAAAGTTTCCTTATCCTTTGTAGCTCTTAATAAACTTTGACTTTTTATCTCTCCTAAATACTGACCTCCATATATCCATTTATTCAACCTCTCTAGGTAGGTTGTTTTACGCTGTCCCTCTTGCCTTCAGACTGTCCTATGAGTATCAGATTTTTCAAGCCATCTTTCCTCATTATAATCCATAGAAATTTCAACTGTTTCTTCCTGATGTTAAATATGAGGGTCCCTTTTGTTTCCATTTCTCTAAAACTTCGTTGTTGCTCCTATATTCTGTCCATGCCATTTTCCATATACTTTTGTGGAGCCACATTTCTGCTGCTTTAAGTGTATGTTTCATCACTGAGGATATTTTCCAGCATTAATTGCTATAAGAAAACTCATATTAAATAACAGTTCTGAACTCTTTTCTTTCTTGCTAACGAATTTATTCTGTTTCTTAACATTCTGCTTAGCCTTTGAACGGTCTCTTTTGCTACCTCAATCGGCTTTCGGATTTCAGTGTCACATTTTGCGTTCGCTGTTAGAACACTTCCTAGATATTTAAATTGTTATACTTGCTTGATTTTGGTATCTCAAGTTTGTAATTTGAAATTGGGTTTTTCTTTTGATGACAACCATACATTTTATCTTCTTGCAATTGATGTTTAGTCCTTTCTTCTCGCTTTCCTTCGTTACTTTCTGTAGGATTTCCTGTGATTTCTTTTCTGTATCTACTATCAAAACTGTGCCATCTTTATATCTTATATTGTTAAAATTGTGACCACCAATGATGAATCCTAGAAAAACTTACAATTCTCTCAGAATCCCCTACTTTTATAGGTTGAATAAGTCCGGTGAGAAGTTACATCCTTGTCTTACACCATTTTTTTGTATGTTTATTTTTTTCAGATGTTTTGTTACCAGTATAGGTTCTGAATTATTCCAATATCCTTTCAAAATATGTCAAGGTTACCTAGCAGTTCCAAGTAATCTTTAAAACAAGCACGCGTAAACTTTTTCTAGCACTGTCTCGCACGTTTTTATAGTTCATTATAAAGCGGGCCACACTGTTAAAATGATGCAAGGTAATTTTTTGTTGTAGGTATCCCGACTATTTTCACTACAAGGAAACACTTACGTAAAAATCTGCGTTAGAAATGGAGAAAATTTGATTCTTTTAAATGCAGAAAAAATTCTATTATTAAAAAAAAATTGACGTCTTGATAGTGATTTTCTAAAACCGGCTTAGATGTGGCACAAGGCCGATAGTAGGGGGCACCCTGCGAGGATCGAACTCATTACTCAGTCGTAATTGATCTAGCAAGACAAGCTTTCTAACCATAACACCACGTCGAGGTGCCCAAATTGATGTCTTGGTATAGTATTAAGAGAGATAACAGTGTGATTAACACACGTCGCAGTGTGTGGTTTGTTTTTAATTTACTCATTTGAAAATACAAAAATAATTTTTATTGAATAAAATATATTTCTCCTCTAAAGAAAAAAAATATACTGTTTCTAAATCAAAAGATATTGACACGTAGGATATACCTTAGTGAAAATCGCCAAATGTTTGTACTTAACCATTGCTTATGTATGTAGTTATGGGATCTTTTCTGTTAATTCACTACAAAATAAAAATTATTTATATTTACTAAAATTCGCATAAAATTCTCCCAAATCGAGGCCCTTCCATTGTACTCCTGTTAGGTTGACCTTTGCGATCGCTTTAAATGTGGGAGACTTAGGTGCGCTGTTTCAGTGTGCGCGCTCACCCTTATAAACAATCCAGAAATAGATTTTTTTCCTTTTTCTTGTAAGTTCTTCGAATATCATCCGCACGCATGAAATATAAATAACTCCCTGATTTTTGGTAATTTTTCGTTCTGATTTAAAACGTATAATTTCAAAAGCGCGCCAAAAATTGAATAAAATAACAAACGCCGATTTAAAATTTATAATTTCTTGGGGTGAAATAATATTTGCGATGGGTACCATTACATTATTTGGGGTGAATTATCAAAAAAGATACTGGTTATGTATGAGAAAGTGTGAGTGAGCAAGTGAGAATGAAACGAAACGAACAAAATTTTAATAAATATTATTTTTCTCGTGAAATTAAACGTATCACCCAGAATGCAAAACACACCGGAAGCCGCTCGCGAGCGGCAATTTACCTGATGGCTGATTTAAAATAAAAGTCCGTCAAACGGAAATATAATCATTTCAATCGCCATCGTTTCCAAGATCACTGACGGCACGACAAGAATCATATCAAAAAATGAATAGCAATTAAACCTAAATAAAAATTCTTGCACAGCGTGATTTTTATTCCACCAAAAATAGCACAAAATACATAAAGAGTAAGATACCTTGTAAAAATGAATGATCACATTAAAAGTGAGACTTTCTTCTTTTATATATATTCCTTACGATTCATCACAATTTCCTATCATTTAATATAACCTTTTCGCCTTTTACTATTCCTCTTTGTCCTCCTACCATTCGTTAACTCAAACTTTTTAAGTAGGTTACTATTTTTCTTTCTGCATCTCTTACCTTCATTATGTCTTGTGAATATTAAATTTTCTGATCTTAGAATTGATAATCTGTTCAAAAGAAGGCATTAAAATAAAATATACGTATGAAGGCGCACACATTGAAACACAAATACAATGATAACAATTTCGAGTAGTGACAATATCGATTGAAATTTCGGGATTAAATTAGTTTTTCTTTTTTTTTTCAAACGAATTGCTCTGTTCCATTATTAAGGGAGTTTTATTTAATACAGTAGAACCAGAACAGGCATCAAAATCCCAAAGATCTGTGTTGTAAATTATATAAAAAAGTAAGAAATAATTACCTGTTGAAATCACAATGGAAATTAATGATTTACGAAGTAGAGGTAAATACTAACATAACTAAAAATCACAGAAAAAAGATAATTATTTGCCAAGGAAGTTCATACATTTAAAAGGGTTATTTCAGTCAAATAGATCTTATAAAGCAATTGTTTGCAGCTTGTGAAAATACGAAATAAAATAATATAAATCTTAAAAACCAAAGTTCTACAAATAAACAGAAAAGCAACAAAAGTACAATAAATTACGAAACAACAAGAAATAATTCATTGGTTGGTTGGTTGATTTTAAGAAATGTTAACCTTTGTAGGGAATATTGAATAGTAAACATTTGAAAGTGGCTCGAAATAAAAAGATATATTGAGAGGAATTGGACGTCTAAATGAAATACGTACCGCTTGTCGTAAAAAAATCTTGAAGTAAATATTCTTGTGTACAGATTAAAAAGAAACAAAAAAAAGCAAATTAGAAGAAAAATTAGTAGACAAATTGAATTGTTTTTACGGTTTATCAACACTTTTGCAGGTTGTTTAAAACCAGAAAATATTTTTAGATTGTAATAATTTTCTTCAGATAATAATGTTTTACTGACAATAAAGATGAAGACAACAGTCCGAACAATGTAAATAGTGTAGACAGTTGCAATACCAGAAATATAGACAGATATAAAAGTTACTAGGCCCGACATAGGGATTAAAACAACAAAAAGCCTTCTCATAAATATATGCAGTTAGAAATATACCTGTTAAAATATATGAGAAAATAACTAAATATAATGAAATTGAAACTGTATTCCTAGGTATGACGATAAACTACATTCGGCAGCAAGGCTTCTGATCGGGGAAATGGAGGTTTTGAAGAGCGTGAAGTTATATCTTAATTGCTATTGTTCCCAGGTCCACTCTGACCCCGGGTAGTAGCACCATTTAGGGACCCATATATGGGCGAATAGGGGACACACCCCCAAAACACATTATGAAAGTATAAAAATAAATTTTTATAGTAAAAAATATCAGCAATACATTTTTATATAAAAATTACCGACAATGCATTTTATAGCAAAATGACCAACAATACATTTTATCTGTAGTTGAAGGCATACAGTTGTATTCAAAATATTTAGTTGAAGCCCCAAAATTGCTAAAAATATTTAGATTTCAGCATTAAATGACACATAGAGGTGTTGATATGCCATTAAACCAAACTTGAAACTGAAAGTAAATAGCACCTCAAACCTACTATTATACTTGTAATTCTTGGACATCCGACTACAATAAAAAGTGAGGACTAAAGCATTATCAAGATCCGTCGTAGTCCCTGTTTACAAAAGAAGCTTAAAGAATGCACTTTTGGTACCTACTGATCTATTCAGGAGAATATTATTATAATATAAATACTGTACA